ATCAAAAATCGTCAAAATTTTCAGTTGGAGATCAAGCAAGTCATTTCCAGATCAGAGAAATTTATAAAAATCAACTTCCACAAAGATATTTCTTTGTAATAAAAATAGAACTTCTCCACCCACCCACCCATTTTTTAATGCGTTATCTACAGTAATAAAAACCTCGTTTTCGTTAAATTTTCCTAAACAGAAGCCCTTTATTAAAAAAGAATTTATAGTAATATATTCTATGGTTTCTTTATATTTGACTTTTGAGCTCCTGGACTTTTTTTTGACAAAAAGAAAAACTAGTCTTCTCATTAAAAAACATGGCATTACATATTTTGTTGAATGCTAAGACCTTGAGGTTGTCGAAAATAAAAAATAACGGTTCTGAGGTTTTTAAGCAACATGAGTGTAGAAAGAAGTGTCACAGATACGTCTAATTTAAAATTTGATTTTTCAAAAATTCGTCAAAAGTATAGAAATCTTGACAACTGTGTGTTGTTACCGACCACAAATCCCATGTTAAACATGTTGATTCTAAAAAATGAAGGGTTTGGTTTGAAATTTCATCTTCGTTATATCAAAAATCGTCAAAATTTTCATTTGGAGGTCAAGCAAGTCATTTCAAGATCAGACACATCTATAAAAATCAACTTCCACAAAGATATTTCATTGTAATAAAAGTAGAACTTCCCCACCCACCCACCCATTTTTAATGCGTTGTCTATAGTAATAAAACCGTCCTTTTCGTTAAATTTTCCTAAATAAAAGCCCTTTATTAAAAAAGAATACATAGTAATATAATCAATGGTTTCCTGTATGTTTGAATTTTGAGCTCGTTGAACTTTTTTTTGACAAAAAGAAAACCAGTCTTCCCATTAAAAAAAAATGGCATTACATATTTTCTTGAAATCTGAGATGCTGAGGTTGTCGAAAATAAAAAATAACACTTTCGAAGTTTCTAACCAACATGAGTGTGAAAAGAAGTGTCACAAATACGTCTAATTTTTAATTTAGTTTTTCAAAAATTTGTCAATAGTTTAGAAATTTTGACAATTGTGTGTTGTTACCGACCGGAAATTCCATATTAAACACTGTTGACTCTAACAAATGAAGGGCTTGGTTTGAAATTTCATCTTCGTTATATCAAAAATCGTCAAAATTTTCAGTTGGAGATCAAAGAAGTCATTTCAAGATCAAACACATCAATAAAAATCAACTTCCACAAAGATATTTCATTGCAATAAAAATAGAACTTCCCCACCCACCCACCCATTTTTTAATGCGTTGTCTATAGTAATAAAAACCTCCTTTTCGTTAAATTTTCCTAAACAAAAGCCCTTTATTAAAAAAGAATACTTAGTAATATAATCATCAATGGTTTCTTGGTATGTTTGAATTTTGAGCTCGTTGGACTTTTTTTTGACAAAAAGAAAAACTAGTCTTCTCGTTAAAAAAAAAATGGCATTACATATTTTCTTGAATGGTGAGATCCTGAGGTTGTCGAAAATAAAAAATAACGCTTCTGAAGTTTTTAAGCAACATGAGTGTGAAAAGAGGTACCAATAATTTTTAATTTAATTTTTCAAAAATTCGTCAAAACTTTAGAAATTTTGGCAACTGTGTGTTGTTACCGACCGCAAATTACATATTAAACACTGTTGACTCTAACAAATGAAGGGCTTGGTTTGAAATTTCATATTCGTTATATCAAAAGTCGTCAAAATTTTCAGTTGGAGATCAAGTAAGTGATTTCCAGATCAGACACATCTACAAAAATCAACTTCCACAAAGATATTTCATTGCAATAAAAATAGAACTTCCTCACCCTCCCCCCCATTTTTTTATGCATTGTCTGTAGTAATAAAAAATTCACTTTCGTTAAAATTTCCTAAACAGAAGCTCTTTATTGCAAAAGAATATATAGCAATATAATCATTTATGTCATGTAAATTTGAATTTTGATCTCGTTGGACATTACTTTTTGTTTTTTAATGAAAAACTAGTCTTCTCATAAAAAAAAATGGCATTACTATTTTCATGAATGGTGAAATCCTGAGGTTGTCGAAAATAAAAAATAACGCTTCTTAAGTTTTTAAGCAACATGAGTGTGAAAAGAAGTGTCACAGATACCTCTAATTTTTCAAAAATTCGTCAAAAGTTTAGAAATCTTGACAACTGTGTGTTATTACCGACCGCAAATTCCATATTAAACACTGTTGACTCGAACAAATGAAGGGCTTGGTTTGAAATTTCATATTCGTTATATCAAAAATCGTCAAAATTTTTAGCTGGAGATCAGAGACATCTATAAAAATCAACTTCCACAAAAACAAAAAACTCCTTTTCGTTAAAATTACCATGTCGACACGCTCTGAACTGGAAAAATTCACCATTGTCAAAGACGTTAACCGAACACACGACGGCAACCAGCTGATACATGACTGGCCCTTATCGTGCTTTGCACGTTCCTTATCTGTGGCGCGCTTTTTTGGTTCTTAATCCTGGTCGTTCAAATGTGAGTGTGGTGGTTGTTGAAAACAGCATGCAGCGTTTAAACAGAATGATATTTAAAACGTTAGCGAACTGCTAAGCTTGCACTTTTCGAACGTGGTATGGATGTATCCTTGTTCTTTTAATGTACGATGCACTACAAACTGTGATTTTTTTTTTCTGTTTTAAAACAAAAATGTTGTGTCACAAGAGAGTGACGAACTACACGACAAATGACAAAAGAGTTCCGAAATTTAAGATTATTCAAAAATCACCATGTCAATGATGACGTTTCCAATTTTCCAGATGGAACTGTTGGTTATTGTTACGCTTTCAGTAATTAGACTAAAGAGAGCAGCACTGTTTTCATGCTGTCCCTGAGGAAGCCCTCCACAACCTCCAACGCTTGCCAAAACTTTCGAAAGTTCCTAGAGGTCTCCGACGTTTGCCGGGAGTCCGGAAAAGCTTCCAATGCCTCCCGAAGATTCGTGTTCATATTTTGAAACGTCTTAAAGATTTCCGAAGACACCCCAGTCTCCAAGCCTGGCTCCTGATAAATTTCTAAAGATACCCGACAGCGTTGGATAATATAGTTTAGGAAATATCGTTGTACCCTATAACATTTTATTGACAATAACGAGGCGGACAGTAGTACAATGGTAAGAAATAATTATGGTTCACACCAGTTCAACCCGAATTTGTCGGAGAACATTTAGCAGGTAGTTGTACTCGTAAAATAATGCTCATTTTCGTTGGTGAGTAACCATGGATCTTATTCTGCTTTCTAACATCCGCGGAGTACCGCCACGCGACAACTTTAAGACTTTAAGTTGTAAATATCTCTTGCTATTGTACTACTGTCCGTCTCGTTATTGTCAATAAAATTTTATAGGGTACAACGATATTTCCTAAATTATACCTCAGTTTTGTCGAATGTAAGTACCAGGTGTAGAGTTCTCTATTTCTATTATTATTCTCTCTCGTTTTCAAAACTTTGAAACCACGTTGCATTGTCTAGACAATACAGTGCCAACGTGGTTGGCGAAACGCGTCGACAGTGTTTATTGCTTTGCATTTCCAGTGTTATAGGGTAATAACCGCTATGTTATTTTGAGTTTTATGTAACAACTTGTCAAAGCTAGTTTGCACAGAGGTAATAGCACATAACGCATAATGACTGCTACCATTTTTTCTCATTTTTGTTGATGTATCGTTGTGTGACTGCATTCCCTGGAAACGTTAAAACAGCGTAGGAGAAGCCAGATGAAAAATAGTCGTTCGGCAGTGCGATCCCATCGGCACATCACGCGAATGCTTGTACAAGAATATGGTGTCGGACTAGCTTGATGTGTGGTATTACGTTGATAGATCTTAGCCCTCACGATGCTCTTCCGGGTGGAAAATGTTAACTTCGTAATTTTAAAGACTTCGTGTTTGTCACTGTTTTGATAGTTGGACAGTGTGGTTAATATTAATTTATGTTTTCGTTGTTACCGTTCTCTAAAAAAAATTGGTTCAAGAAGACTTCTTTCTATTTGGCGAACGTTGAACGAATAGAAAATTATTATTAATAAAGGAATTGTGTCGAATACTTTAAAAAGTTTTTGGGTTTACCTTTGACTAGTCGCACCAAGAGGTGAAAAAATACAGGAGTAATTAAGTTGAGGGTTGGGGTGTCAGTGCGTTTTCCATATTATGTTGTAAACGTGGTATTCATTCGTGCGCTTTTCAGATTTTCTCGTATCGTATCGTTTGGTGTAAAATTAAGTCCCCAAAGCACAGCTCGTGAATGCAACAAAAGTGGAATACTTTCCCTAGCCTGTTGTGAAAGCTCGCACAATCTAGCACATGCGCGTTAAAGCGCGACGACTGGGGGTAAATTCCCCGTTTTTCAAGCGGTATTGTATTGGGCAGAGCAAAGTTTATCGACTGTGTAACAAAGAGGGACGTACGATAACAAAAACAGAAGATAATTCGTTCAAAATCACTTGATACCCTCGAGCTTTTCGCGAGGCTTGCGCACTAGAAACCCTCGGCGAAATTTAATTAGTTTTTTGCGATTTTTTTCTCGTCGTTAATTGGGAAGGTTTCCCCGACAAATGAATTCGAGGTCGCGACGGAAGCAACCGCAAACAGGAGCAGGAAAAAGTGGTCGCGTCGTCGAACCTTCCGGGCTCAAGAAACATAAAGAAATTAGAGCCGATGCGTCGGAAGCGGTCCAAGAGCAAGAACGGCCCTTAAGCGGCCGTCAAATTGAATAAAACATATTTTCTGTCAATGAGAAGAGGCAAGGACGGAGTGCGGACGATTGGTGGCAAAATCCATACGGGACGGATCATAGAAACGACCTCGGGCAGCTCGAGCAGGCAAAGAAATTCAAAATAGAGACGGGGCGAAGCGAGACAGCGAGGGTAGTTGCAGGCGAGGAAGGGATGCAAGAGAGCGCGCCGACGCGTCTGCGACCTACGTTCGAAAATCCTTCGTGTTCCAACGGTGTCCCACCGAAGAGAAGGGAGAAGCGGCTGCTCTCTCAGCCGCAAGTTATTTCGTTCCCGGGCCTCGCACCAAATGCTCGACTTTCCAGCGTTTTTGCTGTAAATCGCGGGTGTGCTGTACTTGAGTGCCGGTACTGTGAAAGCTCGCGCCAAACCCATTGAGCCCATCTGGGCGCGCGGGCCATGCGGTCAATGTGACTCCAACATGACTTAGTTCCATGGGAGTAATAAGCTCTAGGTAAGAAACCCTCTTCCCTGACACTTAGCGCCTCAGACACGTGCACTTGTTCTGTTGTCAAACATTACAACCCGCACAAAAAATGTTTAACGAGCGCTTAACTTCTATAAACAGATGGATTTCCACGTTTGTATGCAAACAAGCGACTCGGTGCGCCCGGAATTTTTAATGACCGCATAAAACTAAATCAACTGGTTTTAATATTAAACAACCCTCTTTGCTTTGCGCTCGCCGTCTCGATAAACAGACGAAATATCGGAGGAAAGGATATCCGTTCGGCTTTCCGTCCACCAAAACCGGTGACAATCATCCGTTGAATATTTTTACAAGGCTCGAGATGATGTAACCAATATGGGTCTCTCGAAATTCGTGTTGACTTAACCTGAAAAAAAAAGGGAAAATGACATAGGGGGAATTTTCTACTGTTGTCATAAGATGGGTTGTTGACAACCGTGGATTTGCTCTTGGTGATGATGACAGTCTTCGTTGTTTTATTTGCAAGAGGCGCTATGTCCTAACTAAATACCGCTTGTCATGTATGCAGCGTTAAACTAGTACAGCTTCAACTACCAGACAATACCTCCCGGCTTAACATGCACTATATATTTGAATTAAATTTATTCGGGCATCATAACATTCATAACACAACAGCAAATCTTTCCGACATGACAACACCAGAATAAATTTAATCGTCAATTAGAAACGTAATTTCAAACCGTCGAAAAGTGCAGAAGTTGCATTATTAATGCCAACTCAATATTTTGAAAAAGATTCACTTGAATTATTCAGCTGAATTGTTCTGAATAATTTACCTGCATTTGCTTTGTTTTGAGACGAATAAAATTATACGAAGACCGGTAACATGACTTACCCACATAATAATATGTAAATAATTGTCAGAACATCCAAACAAAGTTAGTTAACAGTTACAACAACAATTTGGTAGTCGAACAACATTTGTTCATTTAAACTTTCAGCCGTTAAAAGGAAAATTTAGACATTTCTTCTGAAAACGTAATAGTGTCAAAAAACTACGACGACTAAGAAAAGTTCACATAACTTGACCATCAGAATCATCGTCATCACGTGACGTGTTGAGAACTTTATGTATGATGTTCTTCGCAACCGCATTATTGCAGAAAACTGTGGAAAAGTCAAACTGTCTTAATTGAAGAGACGACAGACTGTCACAACAAACAGGGGAACATCAGATAATCAACATCTCAAATTTGTTTAGCTTCACTCAGCTTCCAGTTATGAGCTGTTGGTCATTCGGCAGTTTGTCTTCGTAAACAGATTCATCTTCACCTAAAAAGAACATTGTATTATTAAAAGTACCTGTTGTTAAAGAACATATTGTAACACAAAGTTTTAATTTCCATTGTCAAAATAATATTGATGATCGTGTTGTAAAAATAAAGCATCGAAGTTAAAGATAGACATCTTTTTCATTCTGTTCTAATACTTTTACTGTATTGACTATCCTGAATAATTAAATTCATGCTAATAAAAGTATGATTGTACCTATATCGACGCTCTGCTTGTAAAAACTAACAAGAAAAAAGTGTTCAATAATTAAGAATTATCCATAAGAAGAAAATAATTCAAATTGTGTGTAAATATTTACCAGTGTGTTCTATGTATACATAAAATATTGTTATTGTTACTCAAACTTCCCTCAATCAAAGAAAAAATATAACACTAGGTATATAATATTAATGTGTTGGGTTTATAACAACTAATAGTAAAGAAATTGATAAAAATCGTCATTATACCAAAGTTCTATTGTTAAAATCTTTCCTTTGTTAAGAAAGTAGAAAGTTCTATACTGTTGAACTGAAAAAAAAAAACACTTAAATTTATTATTATTGTTCATAAAATCTACTTCTTAAATCTTGGAGCAAACTTTTATAATATGGCTTTCAGGTTACCACGCAGAACTGGACAAATTCGATTTCTTATGTTGCTTTTTTTTGGTATACAAATAAAATTTTACAACCTAAACCGTAAAGTATAAGTTATAAACCCTCGGTCGAAATTTGGCTGTCACCAAACGCCAAACAAGAGCGTGTTTGTTCTACCCTGCAATGAGGTTAACTATTAACTTCTCGTTCATATTTACGTCTATAGGATAGATTATTATAATACAATAAGCCTAAGTAGCCTCATTCGACTAATTCGTAAATGTTCTTATGCCACCGTATTATTTTAAGGCTTAGAATACGAGCGCAGCGAGCATATACAGGTGTTATTAAAAATAAGTCACTGCTGTCCCTGAGACGCTAAATTATAAAAAACAAATGTATTTATCGTCTACAAAGCAGTGAATCCTAAAAACATTTGTGACTAATAGAGGTGGGGATACCTGAACGTGCTCGCTGCGCTCGAATTCCAAGTATGTGTTTTTCAAAATCAAGAGATTTGTTATTACAATTGAACGCAAACTTGGCTAAGGCCCGTTCTTGGATATTTTTAACACTAGAGTTCAAAAAAATGAAGAATTAGAATGCGAGCGCAGCGAGCACGTTTAGGTTTTATTTAAAAAATTGTCGAAAGTAATAAAATTTTCAGAAAAATTGGGGTAAAATAAATTGACTCGTTTATTAATTATTTTGTCTATTTTAGAGAGGATTTATTCGGCAAAATTTTGAGATGACTATCAATTTTTGGGTGGGGATAAACGGATAAATTTTGATTAACGATAACTTTAAAACGTTTGCAAAATTTGCAGTTTCAAAGTTCAATTGCAAAATGTTATAAAATTTTGATTTTTTCCCAAAAACCTGGATGTTAAAAACTCAATGCGGATTCATAAACCACAAGTACAGGAGTATCTTATTTTATAATTTTTGGTTAGCGTTTTACCATCTGTACGATATTCCCAATACACATAAAATTTAATAGCAATCGGTCCATCAGTTTCGAAGATTATCTGACACACCGCAGATCGTCAGACGGAAACGGGGAGAGGTCATAAAACGTCGAGACAAGATAAAAGTAGCCAGTCGTCCGATGGACTCGATTATTATAACCATGAACTTAACATTTTACCAGGGTTTCAAATATTTGATGGTATATAGTGGCATATACCCTTCAACGTCGCGTGAACTTTCTGCACGAGAAAGGAATAGATGTAAATAACAATGGGCACTAGATCAATAATTCATTATGAGAAGGTACACACAGATGCGTGGGAGAAGGTAAATCAAGTTTAGGGTGGCAAAGATTACAATGGTTTCAGTTACCTCGAGAAGTGGAAATTAAAAATAAGAATTTAAGCCTTGGGGAAGGTTGTCGACAAAATAAATTAAAAAAATAATAAGAAACGGGTATCCAGAGCTTTGTATCCGAAACTGAAGCAACAGAGAAGCTGATGAACAATCCGAGAAAATTACGATACTTGATTAGAACGTCAAAACAAAAAGAACTCGTACTATCAACTTGTATTTGCGACAAAATTTGCATTATTATTAAACGGACATTAATCTCTTCCCAAGCACAACCAGTAGCACTTCGAACACGCCAGCGCATTTTTTCCGACCCCGAACTCTTAACGATAATAGTCCAGTTGTTGTCATTCATTACAGAAACATGTTACAAATGACAGCAAAAAACCAACCCACAACTTGAAACAGTCAAACATGTGGCATGTGCTCCTACTTGCTGTTGATATAATTAAGCAGCAAAAAGTTTCACTTTTAATAATGAAAAGGCGCCTTTACCGCTAATTGCACAGTGAGATTAATGAAAGGTCTTCACTTGAAGCTTCACTTCGCTATTATTTTTAGGTCAGAGAGGAAACTTCTTACGAGAGATATATGTGCGTCTGGAAGACGAATGTAAATTCTTGAGATTTGTTGGGTCCAATGGACGTAAAGTCGAGTCTCCGATGATACATAAACTCACGTCAACAGAATGAACCTTTTTCTTCGTGTGGAGCTTCGGGGATTATTTAATTACGTGATGACAGCAATTTTCGAATAACCGTAAATTTCAATTACAACGATGCCATTATTTTAATTGGACAAGTTTTTCGTTCGGTTTTATTGGGTTTCGTTTAGTTTTAGGGTTCCCACACTAACAATTAGTCACGCCTTTAATTAAAAAAATTTCATTAGCATTTACATTTAAATCGGTGTCGTCGGGAACACACGGAGAGCTGGATTTTTCGAAGGGTCATCGGCTCTAATCGGATTCCCTGTTTCAATTACGTGCTCTAAATTATATCGCACTGTCTTAAGGACATCCAAAGGCTCTTCCCAATAGCCAACCTCGCTAACAACGAACAATAAACTACGGAAACATTCCGTTTGCAACGCCGCAGTTTAACACACACACAATGGAAATTATTGTGGACCGAAGCCAAAAATTTGATGGCGTAAAATGCAGCCTTTTAATACGGTACATCGGATTCGGCATGTTTTGTTAGCGCCATGACGCAAATGATTTTATTTCGTTACATTTGCAAAAAATCTAGGGCACCGCTGCTGCAATATAAATAAAACGTTGCAACAAACTGGAAAACCACACATCGCAAACTCTCTGCCAGGAAGCAAAAACCAATTGGATTTTCTTCATTTCATTCATTTCGTGCCATAAGCGACACTTGTCACAAACTATTTATTTTCATTAATGTATACCATTGTTGTAAGATAATTCGTGGAGAGTAGAGTTTTTTAATCACACCACACACGTCAGTCACAACAGTCACTGTTCACTTGGAATGATGATCGATCGAACATTTGACCACTACCTGATTTATCCTTTCCCGGAAAATGAATTTCATACTGCAGGGAAAGACAAGCCAAGAGCACTTGAAAAATATAAACAAAACCCCACGTTTGATTCGATTGGGTTTACACAAGCAAGTGGACACTTTGAAAGATTTTAAACAAAGCAACGTTCCATTCCATTATCAGACAAGAAAAGGAGAAATTTGAAGTTGCTCAGGTGCTTGGTCCGTAAACTATTAAAAGCTCCACTATAGCCGGAAGCTCTAA